GATGGATTACTTGTGTGTACGTGCTCCTGGTGGTACAGTTTTGATGGATTTCTTGTGTGTACAGTTTGGATGGATTTGTTGTGTGTACGTGCCCATGGTGGTACAGTTTGGATGGATTTCTTGTGTGTATGTGGCTCTGGTGGTACAGTTTGGATGGGCTTTGAAGCTTCAACAATATGTATAATGAATGCTTCTATTTTATATTTACCAATAGTGTCAGGCAGGTGGGGAACTAACTGAAAGAACGACTGCTGGATGACCAAAAAGCTGGTTGTCTTTCATCCCAAAGTTTAATGACTTACTCATCCCTGTATTTGATTTCTGTATGAAGAGGTGTTAAGAAGCAGTTTATCTAGGTCCACAAGGGTAGGGTTAAAGTGTACTGCAGTTTTATCTTCTTGCTAATATATGGTGATAAGGGTACCATGTAGAAACCATATGAAGTATTTTCCAGGAAATTAATATTATCATCAGCAAAGACAACTGTCTTGATGAAATCTGGAAGACAATATCCTGTGTCCGCCATTCTGAGCACCATTGCGTTCTCAATATCCTGTGTCCGCCATTCTGAGCACCATTGAGTTCTCAATATCCTGTGTCCGCCATTCTGAGCACCATTGAGTTCTCAATATCTTGTGTCCGCCATTCTGAGCACCATTGAGTTCTCAATATCCTGTGTCCGCCATTCTGAGCACCATTGAGTTCTCAATATCCTGTGTCCGACATTCTGAGCACCATTGAGTTCTCAATATCCTGTGTCCGCCATTCTGAGCACCATTGAGTTCTCAATATCCTGTGTCCGCCATTCTGAGCACCATTGAGTTCTCAATATCCTGTGTCCGCCATTCTGAGCACCATTGAGTTCTCAATATCCTGTGTCCGCCATTCTGAGCACCATTGAGTTCTCAATATCCTGTGTCCGCCATTCTGAGCACCATTGAGTTCTCAATATCCTGTGTCCGACATTCTGAGCACCATTGAGTTCTCAATATCCTGTGTCCGCCATTCTGAGCACCATTGAGTTCTCAATATCCTGTGTCCGCCATTCTGAGCACCATTGAGTTCTCAATATCCTGTGTCCGCCATTCTGAGCACCATTGAGTTCTCAATATCCTGTGTCCGCCATTCTGAGCACCATTGAGTTCTCAATACATTTTGTCCAAGACATTTGTATATCCTGTACTAAATTTAAGATATACAATAGAA